AGACAAAGACTGGAAAAAATGAAGAATTGGAGGGAGGAGAGATGGAAAGGATGGAGAAGTAAGAGTAGGGGCAGGGAGGAGAAAGGAAAGGGATAAATGGGGTAAAGAGAAGGGAGGAAGGATGGTAGATTGAGGGAGGAGAGAATTGATCTGGGAATGGTTAGTATGCAGCCCCCGCTCCCTCCTCCCTCCCTCCCTCTCCCCCTCCCTCTCTCCCTCTGTGTCTCTTTCCATTCAGTGGTGTCAGAGTTGGAAACATGTCGCGGAGGAAACAGCCCAAACCTCAGCAGCACCTCCCGTCTGATCATTCACCTGGACACACAGGTAAGTTGTTTCATTTTGTTTCATCTTTCACAATAATGAGATGTTGAGAGGAACTGCCTCTACATCTGTACCATGGTGCCTTTATAATAACGGTGTCTGCTGTACGCTGTGATGATGAAGGTGATAGTTTATTATGGAGCAGGACTGTAGTGTGAAACTGAACTCTGACTCTTAAACTCACTGTGACTTTCTAATAATGGCATTGATTAATTAATTAAAGAAGGAACTGATTATGGTGTTTGATAGATTTCAGACTCATCTATTGAAATGATAGTTACTGTAATGTTACTTTAAACAGGAGTCTGAGATTTATTGTGAAAGTGTTCAAAAATAATTCATCTATTAAACTGAAGAGATTCTTTGATTGTTTCACTCGTTTATTCGTGTAATTAGTTTAATGATTCAGAGACAAACAAAGAAAACTTTGATAAACAGCTGGATTTAGAGAAACTGCAGGACACGTCCACATGCACATATCATATATGTACATTTACTGAATTCTCATATACATTATACTGTATGTTTATATGATTATACAGTATGTAGAAAAATTAGACGTGGAAACTGTAGACGTTACATAAATATACATCCATCCCAAAGCCTGTCAGTATATGTTGATACTATATATGTAAATATTTAACAAAGACATGTATATTTAAATTAATAAGAAATTGATAAGAAAAACATACAGTATAAACATATAGAATTTGTATGTTGTTTTCATAAAGTTAAATATGGTTGCAACATGTTATACCAGAGAAAAAAAGGTATTTCGTATATGTTTTAAACTCCAGAAGATGTATACATGTGATAATAATATATCCCCTTATAGGGACATGTATGTCATATATTACATTTCTCTTGGAAAGAATATTTTGTAGTTTTTCCTGAGCTCTACTTTGTCGTACCAGATGTTTTATATTTTATATTTCTGAAGATGTCTCTCAGATGAAAGTGATTTCTGTCTTTCGGTGTGTTTCAGAAGATGCCCCTCTCGGTCCGGACCCCCCCCCTGCCGTGGATCTCTCTGTCTGCAGTCGCTGCTGTGCTGAGTTTAGCTCTCTGTCAGACCTGGAACGACATCAAACACTCTGCTCCCCAAATCCTCCGGTGCTGATAGTGAATGAGGACGAGGATCTGCTGTCCTGCAGCAAAACTCTCCCTGCAGCCTCACCAGCGGCCGGCCCAGCGGGGGGGCCAGGTCCAACGGTTATTGACTCTGAGAACTTCAACCCCCCACCCCAGGACAGATCCAAAGACAGTGCAGGAGTCATGGATTGTTTCAGCAGCACGAGAACCAACGGTGGTGTTGAAAGCTCAGGAAGCAGCAGCAGTAACCGGGACACTGTCCTCTGGACGTCAGCGTCTGAACCTCGTGGATGCTTGTGGATGAAGACCAACGTCATCATTGAGAACCTGGAGAGCACTAAAGTGGCTGTGGCTCAGTTTTCTCAGCAGACTCCCTCAAAGAGACGCCGGGGAGAGACGGTCGTCTCGTCTCTGCTGCAGCAGCTGCTCCACCTGCAGATACAACAGCTCCATCAGCTGCAGCTGATCGATCAGATCCGCCACCAGGTCCTGATGTGTGCCGCTCACAGAGCCCTGACATCCGAGACCCCACTGGTCTGCACCAGAGGCCCGTCATCCTCAGTGTCCACCAATCAGCTAACAGCTCTCAGCACTCACCTGTCTCAGCAGCTGGCTGCAGCTGCTGGGATCGCCAGATGTCTTTCCACTCAGTCCGCTAACATGAAGCAGTTTACAGCCACGGAGCAGCTGGATCCAAGTCCAGATGTTCTGTCAACCTCTGTCAATGACCTCATGACTTCAGCTGCTCATAAACTTCTTTCCAACAACACACCTAAGCCCAGTGGATCGTCTGACCCCCCACTGGGACTCCTATCCCAAACCAAGATGACTTCTGTGACGTTTAGCAATAATCGCTTCATCAGGAAGTCTTCAGAGAGCTCCGAGCACGCCGCCTCACACTCTGTACCGAACATCAGAGCCATTGTGGAGGATCTGGATGCTCTGGCAGCTTTAGCTCGACAGAGGGGAAGCAGGAATCTGTCACTCTCTGAAGCCACGCTGACTTCTAAAGAGGCTTTTCTCAAACGCAAGTGCAGATTTTGCGGGAAAGTCTTTGGGAGCAACAGCTCCTTACAGATTCACCTGCGATCTCACACTGGAGAACGACCGTATAAATGCAACGTGTGTGGGAACCGGTTCTCCACCCGGGGGAACTTAAAAGTTCATTTTCAGAGGCACAGAGAGAGGTATCCACACATCCAGATGAACCCGTACCCTGTTCCAGAACATCTGGACAACATCCAAACCAACAGAAGGATTCCTCACAGTGTGCCCTCGTTACCGGAGGAAGAAGCTGCGAGGTGGCTCGACAGGTCGCCATCCTCAACTGCCATTACCTCTGGAGTGGAAAAGTCAGACACAACCAACCGGTTTCCTCTCATCAAACAAGAGGAGCAGTCGATCTCAGAGCAAGTACCTCTTTCTCAAGGTGATCTTCACTTTGATTCAGCAGCAGGTAACGACTTCCAGTCAACAGCAAACCCCACAAAGACTCCCGACTCACCTGAGACGGGACTACAAAGAACGACCAATCTTAAAAGTGAAGATGTAAAACCGTCTTTTAACTTTGTCTCTAAAAAGGTGACAGCCAAGTCTCCCAAACCCTTCACCTGTCCAATGTCTACCTCAGTTTCAGAATACCTTTCATTACAAAGCTCTGAAAACCTCAAACTGCAGCTGCATTCAGGGACCACTGACAAAACGATGTCAGACCCAAATGAGTGTCTCGTCTGCCACCGGATCCTCAGCTGTCAGAGCGCCCTCAGGATGCATTATCGGACTCACACGGGGGAGCGACCCTACCAGTGTAAACAGTGCAGCCGAGCTTTCACCACTAAAGGAAACCTGAAGACACATCAGGCTGTTCACCGTGCACCAATACCACTGAGGTACAACTCCTGTCCCATCTGCCAGAGGAAGTTTACAAATGCCGTGGTCCTGCAGCAGCACATACACATGCACATGGACAGTCACATACCCAAAGTAAATCAGAGGTACAGCCTGGAGTCTGATGAAGAATTCAAACACAAAGTGAGTCACAAGAAGAACCTTCTGGATGATAGTGATGAAGGTTTCTGTGAGAACAGATTGTCTAGATTCAAATCCTGGTTATTCCATTTGTCCCCATCATCGTTTGGTAAAAGTCTAATTGATGCTAAGAAGAAGAGAAGTTCCCCAAGGTCACATGAGGAGCTGCAGCTCAAATGGATCAAGACAGAGAGTCCAGAAGAACCAACTGAGGAACGTAGTCAAACAGACAACCGACAGGCGGCAGACAGGGATCAGCTAACCAGCACAGTCCCCGTATCTGACAGTTCTCCCAATGACCAGACCTCGCTGTGCTTTAAAATTCGGTCAAACCTTGATGAACCTGTCCAGGTGTGGCCCACCTCCACCACGTCGACGCTCCGTGCATCTGTTGCAGCACCGACTGACCTGAAGATGTTTAACCACGCCGCGGATTCTCCGAGCTTGATCCAAAACCTCAGAGAAAAGGGGACGTTCAAGAACACCTTCTGCGATATCTGTGGGAAGATCTTTGCCTGTCAGAGTGCCTTAGATATCCACTATAGAAGCCACACCAAGGAGAGACCATTCATCTGTATGACCTGCAACAGGGGCTTTTCCACCAAGGGGAACCTCAAGCAGCACATGCTCACTCATCAGATGAGGGACTTCCCACCGCGACTCTTCGAACCCTCCAATCCAAACCAGGCGTCCAACCTTAACAACCTCGTGTTACCAGCTGGATCACCTGAGACGACCGCTCTCCTGAGGTCTTCTGTTACCTGGAGTCACCCCTCTGTTTATGCCGGTCCTCCACCTCGCCGGATGCCCAGACAACACCACTGTAACACCTGTGGGAAGAGCTTCTCCTCGTCCAGTGCTCTGCTGATCCACGAGAGGACTCACACCGGGGAGAGGCCGTTCGCCTGCTCCGTCTGTGGACGAGCGTTTACCACCAAAGGAAATCTGAAGGTCGGTTCCACCTTCATTTATTCTTCAGGCTTCTCCACAGGGAGTTAACAAACCATAACTCAACACTGGTTCTGCTTCTGTTTCCACTGTTCTGGATCTGAATCTGGGCTCTGCGCAGGAGGTGAAACTGAATCAGCTACATTACAACCATTCATAATCCTGTGAACTACACCACAGTTTGCTCCATGCTGTCAGATTTCTACTGCAGGTTGACCCTTCCATTAATTCAATACTGATAACAACACGAATATGAAGTTTTAGTCTTTTCCTCAGTTTGGTCTCTAAGGTCTTTTGTGCAATGGTTTAACTGACTGTACGTGATTCCTTAAGTATAAAACAAAGAGCAGAAGAAAATCTTAAAAACGTAAGTGAACTTTTTAAGGAAACCTTACAGATGACACGTGATGGTGTTTTGAGCAGCTGTTTGTATTTTAAGGAAACCTTAACTTGGAGATGACAAGATAAACAAACAAACCTGAGCCATGCTAGCAGTAATAGCTCAGTTAGCCTGTGTTGCATTCAGAGCTGAATGACTGAAGGCCAGGTCATGGTCTCTTAGAACTAGTTTGTAACATTATTAATTATTTGATATTAATATTATTTAATATTATTACATGATCAACAATCATTAGCTTCTCTGGCTAATGGACGATCAATCATTGGATGCTTTAGTCATATAATACAATGTCAGCGCAGTACTGAAGTTTTCAGACTCAAGTTTCTTCTCACTTGTTAAATGTTCACTTACAGACCACGTACTTAACAAACTGGGTAGTTCAGGGTACCTGGGAAATCAGAGCAGCACACAGAGCCGAGCCGTCTTCGCATGGTTTGAAAGTTTTAAATCTTTTGAAATGAAACTGGACAAAAACATTTATTCAATTTATGAAAAGATCCAGTAAAGATTTCCTAATTTTCACTTGTAAGTGAAATGTGATGTTCTTAAATGTGGACTGTGTCACTGCCTGAGCTGCAGTTAAACTTCAGAGAACATTTACTGTACGCTTTAAAAATGGCATTAAATATCAGTCCCATTTGGTCCAACACAGTGGTTCTCAAACTGGGGTCCGGGGCGGGTTCCTGGGGGTCCCAACAGGAACCCCTAAAAGTAAAACTCTGATCAGATGGAGTCTGTGGTCTAATCTGTGTGACCACTGATTTAGATGACATCACCGGATCTCCAGAGCTTTCAAAATAAAATAAAACAAAACTATATGAAATAAAAGAGAAGAAAAGAAAAGAAAAAGTAAAATCAGCTTTGAAGCAGTGATGTCACTGATGACATCACAGTTTATGTGACATCATTATTTATGGTGATCATTCGGTGAACACTGGTCAGAAACATCACATAGAACATTTAACATGGAGTTTTGGTTCTGGAGCCTCCAGCAGGTCAGGTACCTGATCACATGGTTGGACTCAGGTCCAGGTCCTGCGGACCGACCCAGTACATAAACGTAGATTCCCACACCGGGAGTTGAACCCGGGCCGCCTGGGTGAAAACCAGGAATCCTAACCGCTAGACCATATGGGACTTAGAGAGGGTCAGGTTACAGTGGCCGACAGTCTGACAGGTGTGTGTGTGTGTGTGTGTGTGTCTGTGTGTGTGTGTGTCTGTGAGTGTGTGTGTGTGTGTGTGTCTGTGAGTGTGTGTGTGTGTGTGTGTGTGTGTGTGTGTGTGTGTGTGTGTGTGTGTGTGTGTGTGTGTCTGTGTGTGTGTGTGTGTGTGTGTGTGTGTGTGTGTGTGCGCACCATTCAGGTCTCTGATCCTGATTCTGTTCCAGTCCATGTCCAGACCTGTAACCAGTGTGTCCTCTTCCAGGTCCACATGGGGACTCACATGTGGAGCAGCGCCCCCAGCAGGAGAGGCCGCAGACTGTCAGTGGACAGACTGTCGCTGGGGTTCAGGACTCATCCAGTTAGACTTCCTGTGCCGCCTCAGAAGAGTCCAGATCTGGTCCCCAGCAGCAGAGAGTCCGTCAGAGAGCTTCTGTCTGCAGGTCTGAAGGTGAACCAAGGCTCCGCCCTCCTCTCAGAACAGGTAGGACTGAAGGAGAGCACACCTGCAGACAGCTCAGGTGTTCGTCTCAGTAAAGACCACTAACCAGACCTGATAGACCCTCAGAATTAGACCAGCACTGGTCCTGGTTCTCAGACTGAGAGACATCAGGGACAAAAGGACAGATAAAGTCTCAGAGACAGAAACAGTGTGTGTAAATATTCATATATTTAATGCTTATTGTTGTAACTTTATACAGTTTTACTGTGTGAACCTGAATGCAACATTTTCTCAGTGAAAAGTCCAAAGTCATCATGTGCAATAAACACTGAAACATGCTGATTCATGTGCATGTGTGAACAGATTTCTGCCTTTTAAACATTTCCTGTTAATAATGTTGACTTTATGTTTCTCTGATTTCTTTCATTTGAATTATTCTAATTAATTAATGGGTTGAATCAGACTCTGATCTTCACTCACAGACTGAGACCAAAGGAAGATCCGTGTTCCCACACCGGGAGTTGAACCCGGGCCGCCTGGGTGAAAACCAGGAATCCTAACCGCTAGACCATATGGGACTTCTCCATGTGAGGAGCTGAAGATACTGTTGCTTCTTAAAGTATTCTTCACACCAGCAGCTTGTGTCATGTGGTCCAGTGGTTCCTGGTTCAGCTGCCAGTGGGCGACCACATTTATCCAGCATGAATCTGAGTCTAAGTGACTGGGTTGTTAAGTTTACTTCAACTAACCAGTTGATCTGTGGTAGAACAGATGATATAACATGGTCCCTTCTGTACTTTGGATCTGACTCTGCAGACGAATCCACTGACTGTGGAAACTGGTCTGAAGCGTTTCAGTTGTTTGACTTTGATAGTTTCAGTTCATTCCAGCTGCTGTAGAGGAGGTGATGTCTGAGCTGTGTGTCGTTGTTGATGTTGATGTTGTTGTTGTTGTTGTTGTTGTTGTTGAGTTGTTGTGTGTTGGTGTTGTTGGTGTGTTGTTGTTGAGTTGTGTGTTGTTGTTGTTTTTGGTGTGTTGTGTGTTTTTGTTGAGTTGTTGTGTTGTTGTTGTTGTTGTTGTTGTTGAGTTGTTGTGTGTTGGTGTTGTTGGTGTGTTGGTGTTGTTGTTGCGTTGTGTGTTGTTGTTGTTGTTGGTGTGTTGTGTGTTTTTGTTGAGTTGTTGTGTTGTTGTTGTTGTTGTTGTTGTTGAGTTGTGTGTTGTTGTGTTGTTGAGTTGTTGTTGAGTTGTTAAGTTATTGTGTTGTGTGTTGTTGTTGAGTTGTTGTTGTTGTTGTGTTGTTGAGTTGTTGTGTTGTGTGTTTTTGTTGAGTTGTTGTGTTGTTGTTGTTGTTGTTGTTGAGTTGTTGTTGAGT